TCCTTGTTTAGTGCTGCTGTGTTCAATAAAGTTTGATTCAAACACCTCATCCAGCTAATTCCAGACTTCATTTAGTGTTTTTGTTTGAGACTTGTTGTTTCCTTTTCTTTCTTACTTCCTGTTTCCTGTTTGTCTGACTGATGCAGTCCAGTGATCCTCAGCAGGATCGGCTTCAGTCATCTGCAGCAGCAAACATTTGTTCTTCTAGCGAGACCTTGAACCTCCTGATCTGCGGGAACCTCTGACCTCTTTAAACAGGAGTTCTCCTTCAGCCGCCACATAAAGCACATCGCTCAGCGCTGCAGATTAACGAGGAGGCCTTTAACGTTTCCCAGAGACTCCTCGAATCAAAGCACATCACGATTCAGGACGCGGAGCGAAAATAAAGATTGTGCAACATTCATTATCTAATTATGTACTCGCAAAGTTCCCTCACAAAATGAACAGAGGGTGGATTGTGCCTTTTTAAAAGATAAATTCGCAGCGTGTCTGATAAAATTAATACGTTCGTTACAAAACATCCTCCGTGTTTCTGATGGGATGATGAAACTGGAGGTAATGATGGTCATGGAAATAAGGTTCCTGAATAAATCGACTTTTTCTCACATTCGCTGCAGATTTTCTGTCAGAGAATAAAATAATAATAAAAAAAAAAAAGAAGAAAGGCTTCAAAGTCAAAGAACAAAGCGAGCACACATCTTCCTGCTGACAGATCGGCTGCACACGCTCTCATACGTGGACATAAAAGTGGAGACCACGCTACGATCACAGCAGCTCCAACGTGTCGACTCAGAAAACAGCTTCAAAAACTCCTGATTAATTTGTTAATGAAGGCTGTTAACGTCTGTTAGCTCCAGCGTGCACGTGTTCGCTCCTATTGGCTTCTGTTTTGCTTAATTTAGCGCCTGTTAGCTCCAGATAGTTAATGTTAGCTCTCATTAGCTAAAGAAAACCCCCAACCATCTCCAGTTAGCATTTTTGAGCTCCAGAAAGCGTTTGGTAGATTATTGTGGCTCTTGTTAGCTCCTCAAGGTTACCATTAGCTCCTCTTAGCACCAGATATCTCCTGATAGCTCTAATTAGCTTGTGTTAGCGCCAATTTGCCCTGATTAGCGCCTGTTGGTGTGTTAATGTTCCAGTTAGCTCCAGTTTGTGCATATTAGCTCCAGATGGTTAATATTAATTCATTTCGCTTTAGAGCATTAGCGCTTTAGAGCTCTGAAAAGCTTCTTTTCCTTAACTGTGGCTCTTGTTAGCTCCTGGTGGCTCTTGCTGACTTCTATTAGCTGCAGTTATTCGCTCTGATTAGCTCATGCTAGCAAGTTAATGCTCCAGTTGATCCTTGTTATCTGCTGTTAGTGCCTATTAGCTTCTGTTTTGCAGCAATTAGTGCCTGTTAGCTACATTTAGCACATATTAGCTCCAGCTAGTTAATGTTAGCTCTCATTAGCTAAAGAAAACCCCGCATCAACTCCAGTTAGCATTTTTGAGCTCCAGAAAGCTATTGTTAGTTGACTGTGGCTCTTGCTAGCTCCTCAAGGTAACTGTTAGCTCCTCTTAGCTCCAGATATCTCCTGTTAGCTCTAATTAGCTTGTGTTAGCACCAATTTGCCCTGATTAGCGCCTGTTGGTGCTGTTAATGTTCCATTTGATTTTTGTTATCTGCTGTTAGCGCCTGTTAGTCTCTGTTTTGCTTCATTTACTGACTGCTAGCTCCAGTTCGCGCATATTAGCGCCAGATAGTTATTGTTGGTTCATATTAGCTGAAGAAACCCTCCTCTTAGCTCCTTTAAGCTCCAAAAAGCTTTTGTTAGTTTGTCTTACATTTCCTGTTAAATCCAGATGTCTCCTTTTAGCTCCAGCTATCTCCTGCTAGCTTTAATTAGCTTTAGTTAGCTCAAGTTTGTGCTGATTGGCTTCTGCTAATGGTTTAATGCTCCAGTTAGCTCTTTTATTTCCGTCTAGCTCCTTTTTGCTTTGCGCCTGTTAGCTCCAGATAGCTAATGTTAATGCCAAAAACTGTCTTTTCAGCTCCAGCATGCACTTGTTCACTAAAGGTTCTGTTAGCTCTTGTTAGCTCCAGATAGCTTCTGTTAGCTCCTCTCCTCCTGTAAGCTCCTAATTACAACTTTTACCTCCTGGTGACTTTTATTGACTCATATTAGCTGCAAATAGCTTCTGTTAGCTCCAGATGTTTCCTGTTAGCTCCCATTAGCTTCTGTCAGCTAAACAAAGGCCCCATCAGCTCCAGTTAGCTCTTTTGAGCTCCAGAAGGCTCTGTTAGTTCCTCATGGCTCTTGTTAGCTCCCGTTCGCATATAATAGCTTCTGTTGCCTCCAGTTGGCTCTGGTTAGCTTCTGCTAAAGCCTTTTAGCTTCAGTACGAACTTGCTTGCTCCTATTTACTTCATTTTTTTGCTCCATTTGGTTCCTGTTAGCTCCTGTTAAAGCATATTAGCTCCAGATAGTTAATTTTACATCCTGATGGATCCTGTGAGCTCAAGATAACTCCTGTTTCCATCCCTCAGCTACACTTTGGTCAGATTAGCTCCTGTTAGTGCCTCTACGCTCCAGTTGAACCGTCCTATCTGCTGTTAGTTTCTATTAGCTCCAGTTTCCTGTGAGGAAAACTGGACCTTTTGGTGACTAAAGAGTCTCTAATGAACGTTTGCTACGGGGTACAGACTCTTATATTGAAAGTGAACCATCAATAACGTGTGTGACAAAGAGACAGACAGAAGTTTAACTGCTTCAATGATTGGACACTAAATTAAACGAGTTCTCGTATCCTCCATTTATTACAGCTGGAATCCGGTTCAGGTTAAAGCGAGGGGCTCAGCTCCACTCTGACTCCGTTCACGGGTTATAAAATGTGTTGAGTGAGGTTGTAAAGCTCTGCACCGGAGCAGGCTGACTTCCTGGACAGCCCAGAGAGCGTTTTCTGTGTCACATAGCACCAACTGTGTGGTTATTTCAGTCTCACTAATAAATAAGATAAAACGCTCTCATGAAGAGGCGGCATGTTTGAAGGCAGAATCTCTGGAGTGGTCTGGAGCTGCAGTCAGTGTAAATAACGTTCAGTTTGTCTTTGTAGAGGCAGGAGACAGGAAGTTATCCCTTTACTGTAGCAGAGGACGGCGCCTATGAGAAGCATTTACCTCAGAGGGAAGGTTTCCCCTTTCATTGCTTGTCAACATCGAATCATGGTGAATTTAATTAGGCTTTATTTGACAAAAATGTATAGAAAGACTCTTTTATGTGAAAGTGAAAACAGATTTGATGGTTTGCTTCGGCTCATGGTCTTAATGGAAAACAAAACTTCTCCCTTGTGGCAGTTCTCTTGTAGACTTTATATGGTTGTCCTCCAGGATTTACCTTTAAAGGCCTTCCAGGGCTGCTGCTAAGAAGCATCCCCACATCATGATGCTGCCACCACCGTGCTTCACGTCATGATGCTGCCACCACCGTGCTTCACATCATGATGATGCCACCACCGTGCTTCACATCATGATGCTGCCACCACCGTGCTTCACAGTGGGGATGGTGTGTTTGTGATGATGTGCAGAGTCTGGTGTCTGCTCGATCATGATGTGAAGCACGGTGGTGGCAGCATCATGATGTGGGGATGCGTCTCAGCCCTGGGAGGCTTGTAAAGGTAGATGATGACTAAATAGTAAAAAACAATAAAAGAGGAACACGTCCAAAGGGGTGAACACTCTTCACAGGCACTGCAGACTCTTGTTTCTTTACCCAGAAGTTAAATTTCTTAAAATAACACAATGAATGTAAACCTACAAGAGAAGCTAAATAATAAAATAATGCTGCCGTCTTTGTTCTCAGTACTAATTCTGTTTAATTTCATGGTGCTGAGCTGTTTTATTTGACCTTTCCCAGTGAAGCACCGTGTACCTGTTGGTATAGATGTCAGTCGTACAGGTGTGTCTGTGTACGTACCAGGTAGGACTTGTGTCGCTGATTGGCTGATGGGGGCCAGGCCCTGCTGCTGCATCGACAGCTGGTGCAGCTTCGCTAACTGTCGGAGCAACACAGGTGGAAATAAACAATCAGGCTGTTCGTCATTCTGCTCAAAGCAAATGTCACCAGAGCGAGTAAAATCCGACGTTACCTCTGAGTGTGGAATGCCGTAGTGACTCTGCACAGCGTACGTCTGAAACAGAAAGGAGAAAGGTGTCACTGAAGTCCTGGTTTACACGAGCAGAGCAGCTTTTTGTTTCTCTGCAGCGTGTTTCTGTATCCGAGGGCGTAATTTCCTCTGGAGGGTTCACAGCTTCGGTTTGATCTGCTCAGTAAAATCTCTGTAAACAGAATCTTTGTACCGTGCAACTGTCAGCAGCCAGAAGAGAAAAGAAGTGTTGAGTTAGGCTGCTTTAAGTTTTGTCCCAAAGCAGCAGGGAGTGCATTGTTGTTTCTCAGCCGTGGATTCTGATCCGGAGGCTCCATAAACTACTGTTTTCCCTCTGATTAGGGGGAGCTGTGGCTGCAGTTGAAGGTCTTAACAAACAAACTGTTGTCTTTTGCTCGCTGTGATGCTTTTTGACCAGTTCTGGAGCCAAAATGTGGAGAAAAGTCTTCATCGAATCACTTCAAACGCTCAAAGTGTGTGTGTTTGTTAATGAGGCTACAAGCAGCTCAGACTGAGAGTGATGTGAGAACGTTTGTTGGTTATGAAGCCGACGCATTCAGATACCTTCAGTTTAACTCCAACCAGTTTCAGTGTGATTTCATTTT